GAGAGAGAGAGAGAGAGAGAGAGAGAGAGAGAGAAAAAGTAATTTATTATTTTTTTCAAATTTTACACAGTTTATTTCGCGCATCTGTAGTAACAAATTACATATGCTTTTATAAATTTAAAACATTTCTTTTATAATGAAGATATTTAAAAAAATTCTATTTTTATTACTATTACAAGGCATGCTATTGATTTTTTAATATGATTATTAATAAAAGACAAATCCTTTTGTTTAAAGAATTTGTCATTAACATTTAATATGATTGAAATTTGACTGATCGATATTTTCTTATCTAAAGATACAATCTTCCTTTAGAGCCTATTATACTTTAATGACTCTGAAAGTTAAATATAGATGTTATATTTTATATTTTATAAAAATGTTATGTTCGCGCAAGAAATAGGTCGCGGATATTGGTATCTATAATTTTATTTCTATTGTCGTTACAAGACTTAATATTTTTATGATAATCTTATGTCTCGAATTCTACCCCGACATCATACAGTCCCGCGCATATAAATTATCTCATTAAAAACAAGAACAGAAGAACCCATATTTTTCAATTCGCACCAACTGCTTCGTGTCATCGTAAACATTACGAAACAGTGCTGTTCATGTTTTCGTACTGTTACAACCGAAAGGTGTTACATCTTATTTTTACGATAACCATAAAAGATCGTTTCTCAGATATTTATCACATTACGTATTCTGTTGTGCATACAATCGCACAATTTTCACATGCAACTTTTTTTTGTGAAGCATTACAAAATATTCTTTTGCATTTAACTTTGTTATTTAAAATAGTCAGTTTTCGATATGAATTTTCTTAATATTATATTAAGACATCTTAAAAATAAAAGTTATTGCATTCACGTGTCATAATTTAATATAAAAATATAATTTAATATAAAATGACATGAATAAAAGTACCAAGAGGGAAGAAGATACATTACGAAGGTACACGCGATCATTTCTGCCTTAACTCGTCGGTTTATGATCCTAACGTAATCTTCACGCATTAGTCTTCTTCCAAGTCACTTGTAAAATTACATTTTGTGCCTCGGTGACAACAAGGACAAATGATATCATCAGTATTACCGCCGCAGCTGGAATAGCGTATCAAGATCGTAAGAAGCGTAACGGTCGTCGGCGCTACCTTTCAAAGCAGAACTGTCCTGATTACCGCTTACACGCCCATTTGCGTGGCTGCGGTTGGATCACTTTAGAGACAGAATCTTGTCGCGCGCATAGATGTGTGGGTGGGTGGATCGCGTAACAGCTGATCGTTCTCGCTGATCGGAACGCCAGCAACGACGGTGCAGGAAGCCGTGGACGTCCCTGGTGTCGTCCATTTGTACGGCTCTCGGAATTTCATCCGTGTTCGATTTAGGCACGGAGATAACGACGCACATCTTATCTCTTTTTCTCTCTTTCTCTCTTTTTCTCCTATCGTTCTTTTGCCTCAACGTACATTTATGCTGCAAAGTTCTAAGTGTATTCAAGCTGTTAAACGCATGCACACGCATGCGGCAATGCTACTGATATAGCACGTGAGACTGCTGATAGAGAACTAAACACAAGAATATACATCAAGGAACAGCGTAATCAGAGAACAGGCTTTTCTGCGAAGATCTCGGGACATGTTTTAAAAGGACACGGCCCATAAATTTCGCTTTTACCGCGTGAGAGTGAAAGTAGCTGTTGTTAATCATATGTAATTTATCTTTATATTTATCAACATGGTTTTTCCAAAAGAAATGCGTTCCATAGCATTGAAAAATTGTATTATAATAATGCATTTTAAAAACTATTTTTTCCAAAAGAAATCTCTCGCTCACGCTAAGTACTGTCCATATTTATCCAAATTCGAATAAGTTTGTGATATTTAAATAAAGAGCAATTTATTATATAAATTTTTTTATATTCTTCTTCATATATGCATTTCCATTTGTTTAATACATTATGTAAGCCTTGGAGCAATTCTCCTCTGAGAGGAAGAGTATCAGAATAACGTAAAGCCGTTGGATCTCTTGAGTTGAACTCAAACATACAGTTATAACGTTCAGTGCGCGCATGAATGGAGTATAATGCACTTAAAGTATGTCCTCCTTGTAACGGAGTTGCAGCATCTCTTTCGCTTAGTTTTGCGAGGCGCAATTTACGGTCGTCGCGCTAAGAGAGAGACTCGAAATCGTGCACCCTTCGCTTACGCGATAGACGTAGGAAGTGCAGACAGAAGTAAGAGGGCGATACTCGTGTCCTCCTAATCCCCGCGAAAGCGCATGATGTGGAAGGCCGGGTGGATGAGGGGTGAGGGAGGGAGGAGACTTGATGAACTTGCCTCGTGAATCACCTCGCCTATAAAAATCGGCGCCCGATGCGCGAGAGAGATAACGCCGGGGAGGAGCAGTAACAACAGGTTTGCTTATGTACGCACGTACGAGATCCTGGGCGACCGCGAGGGAAGGGGGGGGCTGGGGGGAGGGACGGTGGTAAGCGCGACGGAGAAAGCGTCCGCGAGCGGACGCGACTGCAACACGTGCATCGCGAGAGAATGTTGCGCGGAGGTGCATGCGGCGGTGTCCGGAACGCATCGTGCGTGTGCGCGTGCGTGTGCGTGCGCGTGTGCGTGCGGTGCGTTCTCCGGTATGTGCGCGCGAAACGGTATATACAACGATGTATGCAACGCGACGCGTTGCACACGCACACGCAAACGCGGCGCAATGCGGCGCACATGCGGCGCATCACGACCGCATTGCTCGGTAATGTTCGAGTTCCACGTAGGTTGCGTCGGCGTGGCACGAGGGTGGCGTTCCATCTACATCGTGTTACGTTTATTGTTGCATATGCCGTGTACGCACGATGCAATCGCTGTGCGTTACGCGGCGCGCGATGGGCGCGAGAAAAAAATAAGATCGACGTGGAGAGAGAAAAAGAGAGAAAGAAAGAGAGAGGAGGGTGTGCTTACAACGCTTACACCGCCGTCTCGCTGTTCGAAAATATGATGGGGGGGTTTCGCGATGACTCATGAGAAAAACCAACCATCGCTTGCGCTCGGTGTTCGTATCTTCCCCGCAGATATTACTGCGTGCAGGTGCAACGGTCCCGCAAGCAACATGAGACTAATGCGTTATGTTGTTCTGTGAACAAGACTGCGGTATTATTATGATAGAAATTGATTGGCCAAGAAAATTTATTTAACACGAACATGCACTTAAATTTTATACTTGCAAATATTAACTA